GTAGTCCTGTGTCACATTTCTACTTTGTAGAATTTTTTATATAAAATTATTTTATGTGATAAATAGGTGTTGGCCTATTCCCTTGGGCTAGGTACCTTGGTTCAGAATGAGACACGTCTCAAGCTACACATGAAAGCAGAACTAGAGCACAATGATACACCATATGGAATGATTGTGGTAACAGGTATACAATCAATGTATCCACTATCCTGCCATTTGTATGTTGATTTTTAAAGTGACATTATACATTGTACCTTTAGTAGAGGCTGAATCAAAGAAGGTATTGTCTTTCATTGCTCCTCTTCTCTGTAGGTCGATATCCTTACCCAGGTCCTCCTCAAGACAATGCTGTATGGATGATGGGCAACCCTAACTGGGCCACCATTAACATGCACCTTGGAGAGGTAATAGTGCATGCAAATAGTTTAATGATTATAGTTTTGTTTGTTTATCACATGTAGGATGTCAACCAGGCTTTACAGGTGGGAATAAAGGCAATAGAGCATTATCGTTCTGTAGTCAATGATGAGTGGAATGTAGTTGGTATAATGGGTGGTCTGGGATATGGTGCAGATGGTATGCCTTACATCACCAGCCATTATGGCTACTTCATGTCCTCATGGCACATGGTGATGGCACTGTCTGGTCAGAAAGCTAACATGTCAGAAAAATCACTAACATTTGATCCAAAACTTGACCCTCCATTTGTATTACCTGTACTGCTACCTGGAGTCTGGGGCTATCTCCAAAACAGCCGATACCAGGTGGGCACTGACTCAAAGGTGTCTTATTCACTCGTCCTGCACTTTGGTTCCCTGGAGCTATCACATCTCTCAGTAGCTGATTGTGTTCATCCTGATAGTTCCATCAATGTTGTAATACAACAGATCACGTCATGGAGCTGCCCCTATACTCAAACAGTTAATTAAACCTATAGCATACAGGCTGATAAATATGTTGTGCTGTTTCGTATTAAATTTTTGTTGCAACATTGTTTCAACTATATTGTTATCAATACTGATAGTCTATAATATCAATGGAAATATCCATCATATGCTAGTGATCATTATGGGTCACGCCTACATAAGGCCACACCTCATTCCAGGTTGACCGTAAAGGCCCCCATACACTAGGCAACATGTTGCTAACATTTGTGGTTACTTTGATCTTGTAAGCAACATGTTGCCAGAAATAGAAGGCTGTTCTATTTCTGGCTTACAAGATCAAAGTAACCACAAATGTTACAAGCAACATGTTGCCTAGTGTATGGGGGCCTTTAGTATCTAATGGTTGCAGCTGTGCTGTTAGCATACATGTTGAATTTTAAATTGAAACAAACATGATTCAAAGCACAGTAGATTTTATTTTCACTTTCTGTAAATTTCTTTATCATTAAAATAATTTTACAATAAATGAGTCTCATCCTATTATTCCAGCTGCACTACATCCCTCACTTTTCCCGCTAATTTGCCGTCATCTAAATGAAAATACTCGGTTCAGGAAACTGCCATTATCAGTCCTTAGAGCAGACTCCACCTCCTTTAGTTTTGGGACGTTAGAGAGATCACCTGACGAGAGGTCACATGACCAGTAGGTCGCTTAGTAGTGGGCATGGCTTACCTAAATAAGCAACAGCTGGCTGGGATTTATTGTATATTTCTTTAGAAACACGAACAATGTCATCTGACGTGACAGCATCTGAAGAAATACAGGAATTGGAATGCAAGTGAATGCATTCCAATTCAAAGTCGTTATTAAATTGTTTTGAAAGATGAAGTACCTATTTTATCACAAATTTGTTTAGCTGATAATCTTTTAGAATGAGCTAATACTTGCCTATAATTAATAATAAAGATGTACATGTATGTATATGTATACATGTACATGTACATGTGTCATGTTTACCTTCCGATATCTTCAAAGTTGATAAGTCTTGACTCAAGGTTCATCAGTAGTGTTGATTGGAGCTGTTTCTTTGCTCTTGCTACAGCAATTGGATTAGGACTTTGGGTCATGCTATAAAACTGTTGACACAAGACTTCAACAAGCTTCCTGGACTAGAAGAGAAAGAAGAGAATGAAAAATAGAAAGAGAGCGAAAAATAAAAGAGGAAGAGAGAGAGAGAATGTATTCTACCATTGATGGATGCGAGCTACCAAACAGACAGAATATCCCAGTATCAGAGTAGGCGTGGTTTATAGCTTGTGCATGATAGATCCAATGATGCTTGTTTAGTACGTTCAAGTACAGCTGGGTATACATTCCTTTACCAGGACCACCGGCAGAGAAAGACCCGCCCCCTCCCATTAATGAATTAAGGACAGCAAAGGTGTAAAAGTCGTTTTCGCTGTAGGAGGAGCTTTCCATCGCCACGGCAACATGTGTGAGTTCGGGAAGAGGATTAGGACCAATTATTGGAGCACTTTCACGAGGAACCTACAAAATAATAATTAATATTAATTAAGTGGGTGTGGTAATAAAGCAATTAATAAAGCAGACCTCTAAAGCATAAAAAATGTTTTAAAAAGTACAAAAATAAGTACACAAAGTCAAATAAGGCAAAAAGAAGGTCAAGTAGTGGACAGGGGTGTGGTCAACCAATAGATTAGATAACCCTGGCCTCCGGACCTTCCTGAGCTACACTCAGGCACACATGTTTTATACTCATGTCAAAATACACTGCAAGGCTATTGTGGGTGCACTACACTATTAACAACTGTGAATGCAATTTACTACATGCCACTGATACCAGCACAAATGGCTATGCTCAGAGCTGAATCTGCTAAGTTCTCAAGGTCAAAAAAAAGCAAAAAGAAGGTCAAGTTTTGGACAGGGGTATGTATCGACTTATATAGATAACCCTGGCCTTCGGACCTTCCTAGCTATGCCTGATGTACATGTCACTTTATACTAGTGTCAAAAAATACTGTGAGGCTATTATGGGTGGACTACTACATAAATGTGCCATGAATGCAATTAATTATATGGACAAGGAATGTATGCTATGCCGAAAAAAATGAGGTGAGACTGACTGTAAAATTAAATTATAATGACTGAAAAATTTTACTTAAAAGTCAAAATTGCAAAAAGAAGGTCAAGTAGTGGACAGGGGAATTTATTGACCAGTATAGATAACCCTGGCCTCCGGACCTCCCTATCTACACTACTGTACATCTTCTATTTATACTGGTGTCAAAATACAGTGTAAGGCTATCGTGGGTGGACTATACCGACAATAAATGAGTCATGAATTCAATTAAGAGTATACCGACAATAAATGAGTCATGAATACAATTAAGTACAGTGAATATAATTAGCAAGTCATAGTGTGGAATGTTATTAAGACAATAGAGATTTATTCAATGCCAGAACAGACATGAATGCTACATGTACATGTATGTAGGAAGTTTGAGCCGATTCTGGCTGAAATCTATTCAGTTGTGTGTAATAGTGTCAGTGTCATATTAAAATTAATGCGGTAATGTAGTTTTTATGATTAAAATATACTATTCTGTTTTCAGATTTTCAAATGTTATTAACATTGCTATCAATATTGGATACTTCTCCATCCTGCATGGGTACAGCACGAACATAGAAAGCATAGTACTTCTTTTTGCAGCCAAATTAGTTGTAATGTTTGAATTTTAGGTTGTGTGCCTTTTAAATAAGCCAAAATCTGAAAACTACCCAAGCATTAAAGGGACACATTCACGGAAATAGAATGCACACGTTACTGTAGAGGAAGTAAACAATAAATTGGGCGTGCAACAGATCATTAATTAATAGTTATGACACGTGTTTAGACACGCGTAGAGAGTAGAGACAGCAATCAGTCGCAGAGCCAGGAGTAGGCATCTGTAGAACACTTCTCTCGAACAGAATCAACTCTTTTGCCACCCCAAGATACTCTTTTTAGTGAAGAAACACCAGGAATGTTTACAAGTAGCCACTCGAGTAGCCATTTTGCCTTAATTATTAGGGGCGCGGCCGCACGTTATGAATAGTTATCAACACTAAACGTCATCATTAATGATGTCATCTTGAAAAACGGGCCAGTTTTTCAAGATGACGTGCTTCCGTGCATGTGTCCCTTTAATGAGTAGGTATGGAATAATAGTGATAACTGTTAACCACAACAATAGCAACAGTGCAACCCATGAGACCTTTTACAAACAACTGAGTATAAAAACAAGGCAGTTAATCATTACACCAGAGTCTAGAAATAGTAATAGGCATAGGCTATGCCAAATTTTTGAATGGGTTAGCAAAAAACCCTGCATTAAACCACTTATTTACATATAGTATTTAGCCCATGCTTTTGGCTAACAAATCATCCCCACATTTTCCGATGCATATTGATGTCCTCATGTTATGTAGAAAGCTTGAGCCGATTCCGACTTAAATTTCTCAAGTTATGGTCATTTTAAAAAATTTTCCAAAATCTAAAAAATACCCAAGGCTATAGCCCATGCTTTTTTGTGGAAAATGGCTAAAAAATTATCCCCAATTTTTATTACATTTTCTTATACATATTGACGTCCTTATGCTGTGTAGAAAGTTTGAGCCGATTCCGACTTAAATTTTTCAAGTTATGGCCATTTTAAGAAATTTGTCAAAATCTGAAAAATATCCAAGGCTATAGCCCATGCTTTTTCCCGAAAAATGGCTAAAAAATGACCCCCAATTTTTATTACATTTTCTGATACATATTGATGTCCTTATGCTATTTAGAAAGTTTAAGCCGGTTCTGACGTAAATTTTTCAAGTTACAGCCATTTTAAGAAATTTGCCAAAATCTAAAAAATACCCAAGGCTATAGCCCATGCTTTTTCCCGAAAAATGGCTAAAAAATTATCCCCAATTTTTATTACATTTTCTTATACATATTGATGTCCTTATGCTGTGTAGAAAGTTTGAGCCGATTCCGACTTAAATTTTTCAAGTTATGGCCATTTTAAGAAATTTGCCAAAATCTAAAAAATACCCTGTACTATAGCCCATGCTTTTTTGCGAAAAATGGCTACAAAATCACCCCCATTTTTTATTAAATTTTCTGATACATATTGATGCCCTTATGCTATTTAGAAAGTTTGAGTCGATTCCGACTTAAATTTTTCAAGTTACGGCCATTTAAAGAAATTTGCCAAAATCTAAAAAATAAACATAAAAAATTTATAAAAAAAGATGAAGTAGGAT